CAGGCCAGGACTCGTACTACAAACAGTATCCGAGATGATCATCCCCACCTCCAGAGCCCTTCGGCATCCACTCTAGCTCAGGAGATAGAGACCAATGCTAGTTCTGTTCTGCCGAGCAAGGCATCATACCGAAAACATGACCTACCTCGCATGCCGCAACGGACGCCGAGTAATACCAGTGCTGCGAATGTCGGTCATCTGAAGAATGCTTTAGCATCTGCCGTGCGAGCGAGAAACCATCAATTAATGGAACAGCTCCTGGATAGTGGCGTATCACCGGACATGGGAGAGAATACACATCCCCTGAATGAAGCGATTCTGCACCGTGACATCGAAGGGATGCGTCTGCTTCTGGCCTTTGGAGCCAGCCCGGATGCACCGGACCAAGAAGGAAAGTCACCACTCTTCTCTGCAGTGGAAGGATCATTCATGGATGGTGCGACCTTACTGTTAAAGTACCGTGCCGACCCATGTCTCATGGCCGGATCCGAGCTCGAGTCTCCACTTGGTTTGTGTATCACGAGCCTTAAGACGGGTCTCGTCCATGTCCTACTCGCGCATGGGGCAAATCCCAATCATGAGATGAGAAATGGCAGCACAGTGCTCATCGAAGCTATCCGGAGGAAGGCTCCTCAACGACTAGTCGATCTGCTCTTGGATGCCGGTGCAGATGCAAACTTGAAAAACCGGGAAGGGAAGTCGGCGTTGTTTGAAGCCGTTCAGACCGACCAGGTGACGGTCGTGACAACACTCTTAGACCATGGGGCGAATCCAAACCTCCCTGGACCGGAACATGTGCTCTGGTCAGCCATCTATCGGCCAGCCTGTTTGCGAATCCTGATGGCCCGTGGAGCCGATGTCCGAAAGACCCCAGGTATTATGGAGCAGGCAACAGGCATCAACAACATTGATTCCGTGCGAGTTCTACTACAAACTGGCGTTGATCCCAACTCTAAGAAAGATGGAATTTATACTCCATTATGTTCCGCCATCCGAGACGATCGTGGAGATATTTTTGCGCTTTTGCTGGCTAACGGCGCCAACCCCAATGTTATGGCATCCGAGTATCCTGCGTGGAAATGTGTTACTCACTTCCGGACACATCTCCTCCCGGATCTAGTCGACGCCGGCGCAGACCTCCACCAGCCACCGGGAATTGTCGAAATGGCCGTGCAAGTCAACAACGGAGAGGCCGTGCAGTGGCTCCTGGAGCACGGAGGCGCGAATCCGAACGATCGCAATAGCCAGGGACACACAGCACTCACAACGGCGATTCGGGATAACCGCGTCGATCTCCTGACTCTCCTGCTGGCGCATGGAGCGGATCCTAACCAGCGTGGTCAAGACTGGCCCGTGTGTATGGCTGTCCGGTCTCCAACACTCCTGCAACAGATCCTACCCTCCGTGACAGACCTGTCGGCACACAAAGGCGTCATGGAGATGGCCGTGTTGGCGAACCAGCTAGAGAGTATCAAGTTGCTGCTCGCTGCGGGTGCCAGCGTCGAGTACAAGAACGGCGGTGTTTTCTCCCCGTTAACGACTGCGCTGCGCGAGGGCCACGAAGATATTGTGCGGTTCCTGCTGAATGAAGCCGGCGCAGACCCCAATGCGCCTGGTGAGCATCTTCCAATTGTCAAGGCAGTCCGCAGATGCCACGATGGGGACTTCAAGATGATCGAATTGCTGCTCGAGAAGGGCGCAGACCCGAACATAACTTATCGGGAATGGAACGCGGTAATGGAGGCCATCGAGAACCGAGACCTGAGGCTCCTTCAACTTCTGGCAGAAAAGGGTGGAGGCGTCGATCTTGAAAAGCAAGACGAAACTGGCAAGACTGTGATGCAGATGGTGGATGCATCTGGTTGGAGTGAAGCAACACAGCTTCTACTCGATAATGCGCGCCGATGAGGAAGCTTTAATGGCCGAGACTATATACCCAATTTTCCTTTGTCTATGCCGAAACATAATTTGCCAGAGAGGGCAGTTGGAATAGTTGACCCTTACCAAGTCAACGTCCGAGGAACCGTTTTTACGATGCTGCCATGGAAGAAGGTCATTGAAGACCAGAAGCCGATGCGTTTGCAGCAAATCACCTGACCATAACAGTGCCTTCCAATGTATTGTTGATTTGTGAAGTACCATATGCTTGGATTTCACCTGCAATGTAAATACTATCATAATAATGAAGGAGATTAAAGCGTTTTGTGCAAAGGGAAACCGTCAAGCAATTTAGCAGGTTGTGTGAAAAGATCTGTGTTCTGATCGATCTGTGGATGAGGATTTTGATTGTGCTCGAATGAAATGCTATGTAACTACGTACTAAATTCCTATACATGTATCTATTCTGTATTCTATACCGATCCCTAGTCCAAACTGCTTGAACTGCCTAGATCACTTCAATTGCTTGGATTAGTTGAGCTGCTTCAATTATTAAAACTGGTGAAATTAAATTGCCTCAACTGCTTGAATAACTCTAGGGTCATCTGATTCCCTCACTGCGTATATCTTTCCAGTCGATCACAAGAGATGCTGAAAGCCCTTCGTAGCTACCTAACAATGATTTCATGCCTTCAAGAATACGGTGTTCTGAAGGAAGCAATCAGCACAGAAGACAAATTCTCATAGCCTGCACCATGCATGACACCAAGTCCATCCCAAACACTCTTGTACGAACGGATGTCCGGGAACGCTCACTCCCAAATTCCCCATAGGATCAAAAATGTCGAGATCCCATATTATATAGCTACTAGTAAAGGGGCCAGTGCTCACAGTCACTGCACTGTGACAACTCTTCCGGCGGGCTACACCTGATGGCACATTGGCTATTCAGTGTTGGGGCTGGTGCCTTTTATTTTACTGGGTGCCTTTTGAACATGGTTCCGAATTGGTCCGAAGAAGGCAGATACCAGGGATGTATCTCTATATTGAGCTTGATTTACTTTCAAAGAAGGCTAACAAATGTTTACTATTGGATAGATCTGCCGTTGGGGAATTCAATGCCGGCAATATAGATGAGTATGAACGGGTATTGCGATATAGAGCCCTACCAAGTAAGACAGCCTCTGACTTTAAGTGTATCTATACTGATAAGAAAGCCTTACAGAACCGAGGAAATGGTGGCTAGTAATTGTGGAAAATGTCCTTTGGTGTTGGTTCAAGCCACAACAAGATATAGCATTACGGCACCTCAAAAAGCCTTGGTAGTTTGGTCCAAACTATCGATGACTTCGAAAGGGCATGCGAGCTTATACGACCTCAATGTATGACGTGTTTATGTCTGGTTTGTGCGGCATTACCAGAGCACCAGGTTGTAACTCTTAATACAAGAGACAGATAGCCAGCAGCAATACTGAGCTCTCGACTTGTCCGCTATTCAGTGTCTATTTCGAGATTTAACAGAGACAGTATAGTCCACGTACGTGAATAGAAGCCATTTACTAGTGTTTAAGCACAACTGAGAATCTTATAGCACGGAGAAAGTGGTGAAGGGTGCTAGGAGAAGACCCCAGGCGCCAGCCAATATCTAACAGCTTGCGGGGAAGAACCATATTGGGAGGAGGAATATAATCTAGAAACTTGTCGATTGCTTCTAAGCAAAGCGGGCTTAATAGGGCTTTTTGTTTTACTAGTCTCAAAGTCCTTTGTCTCGTCGTTACACTGTCGTGTGGTGACCCTAAGCCACGCGTATAAGAGATAGCCGATTCCCATAGGATAGTTGAATCAGAAAAGGCCTCCATTCTCATCATGGGCCGCGCCAGTCGGTATGTGTAGGTATGCGTGTGGAATTGCCCATGAAGTCAGTTCTTCCAAGGGATCTCAGTGTATCTCGCAGCATGATTTTCCTAGCCATGCCTTCACTTCTCCAAACCACCGGTCCTGGTCAGGCGAAATTGCATTGTATCTCGCTCGGGTGGTGTCATCCAAGGAAGGACGTAATCTTTTCTTGTCACCTCGACAAGTTCAAACCCACATTTGCGCAAGACCTTAACAGACGCCTCATTCTCCGTATCGCAATATGCCTCCAACACATTGAATTGTGGCTTGCATGACCAGAAGAGTTCCACAAACGCACTCAGCGCCTCCGTTGCAAATCCCAGCCCCCAGGTCGATCGGTGAAAAATGAAGCCCAGCTCTGGAAGCGGATCCGTTCTCCATGTGCCCACCCATCCGATAAACCCACCATGCGCCGAAATATCATACGTGTGGTTATCTTCGGTGCCTTCTCGACTCCCCTGGAGCTGGTTCGAGAAGGCTTCCAAATTTACATCTTGCCGGAGGAGTACCGCATAGTTCTCGCCAACGGGGTTTTCCTCGAGTAACAAGTTAGACATCCACTGTTGCGAATCGTCCAGTGTCTTGCATGGGCCATGGGCGCTCCATCGGGTGGCCACCGGATCGGACCAAATAGAGTGGTAGCCAGCCACATGTTTCTCTGTTAAACGGACGAGTTGTAGTCGTGTTGTCTGCATCTTGGGGAAAGGTGAGTGAGTGACAAGCACAAGAAGACCGCGATGCAGGTTTATAAGATAATAAGACCGAGGAAACCAAAGGCGCCGCCAACTTCGGAAGGAAGAAGAGAATATGAAAAATACAGGAGAAGACGAAGCAGGAGATGAAACAAAGAGAAGTATGGTTCTTGCCGTTACAAAGCACATGGACTTCGTATTTTCAGACTGACTCAAAGGGCTGCGGGCACCGTATGCAGTTAGACAATTTGAAAATCTATTTATAGTAGTCAGATATAGTGATGCCGAACAAAGCACGTACGTACTAAACAGAGTATATACCGTTGATGTCGCTATATTATGCTACAGCATTGTAGTGTCCACCATCACTCAAGGAGGCTTATATTTGTATCAATACGATACAACGTTCGTCACCTGATATACCTGGTTCGAAGACAGACGCATAAATCATGATACAGTGTAAGAGGATATAGTCCGACAATTCTATCACCAATGCAATCCTTCTTAATCTATTTGACGCTACCCCGATTTTCTCTATGCATGTTGCTGAGCTTTGTGAATGAGTTTTACACAGTCGATGAGACCGTGCTCCTCCTCAAGTCCTCCCGGTAGCCGACTGACCACTTTGACCGGCTTCTCGAGTCGCAGCTCGACGTTCTTCTCGCCATCACTTCCGATGGTCCATGAAACGGTCGCAACATTGTCCTTACCCAGCGCAACCTTGGCCTGTATTGCATCACTAAGTCCAAGGCGCGGTTTGAAGAGAACTTTAGTCGACCCTGGTGCGATAGGTCCAATCCCAGCCAATTCCGTGCAATACTCGTAGATGGGCACACTAGACCACGCATGACAGTCTGACCGCTGTCGAACATCATCCTCCTCCCAGGTTGACAGATTGTTGGTTAGCATGTTGCGCCACGGGTCCCACAGCTGGGGCCAGAAGCTGTCGTAGACCTGATCGCCAGCGAGCGACAATGCACGCAGCGCATAGAATCGCATCATATAGGAGCATTTTGCGAACCGAGAGTCCGCGAACGATTCGGTTAGAATGCGAGCCCGATCTTCCGGTGGCGCTGTCCCAGACAAGACTGCAAAGACCTGGCAATGTTGTGAGTAGGACGATTCGTCAGCGATGTTGGCCATGGAATCGGTGAAGAAGCGTCCATCGTAACAGTGAGCTCGAACGGCTTGTTGCAGTGCGGTCGCCCGTGCTTCATACTCCTCGGCATAGCCCGGTCGGCCAACGTCGCGCACAAGCTGTGCAGCCTGTTGGAGGACATACGCGTATAACATGCTGAAGTACGTATGTCGGTTTGATTTGCGACCAGAGGTGGGCACTCCTTTGTCAGGATAATCTTCCGTCGCACCCCAGGTCGTGACCCAGTCGACATACTGCCACACATCCTCGGGGAGCCCGCTTACAAGGCCAAAATTATCGATGTGTGAGTCGAAAAAGTCGAGGACGCCGTCGATCCGAGGGAGGAAGGAACGAGCAAAGCGAGTGTCGCCGAAATATAGATGGTGATCGCACACCTGCAGGACCCAATACAACGGGAAGCCAGCAATAAGCTGAGGAACGTGAGAGGGGAAGCGTGACTGGGTGAGACCCTCAAAGGTGACTGAAGCTGCAAAGTTCGTGATAGCTTGTCGCATCAGCCGGTCGTCACCCGAGAGTAGATAGTGAAACAAGCCGACGGCGCGGCTGTCGCCGGAGTATCTGCCAGAAATGTTAACCTCTCCCCGAATACGATCGGAATGGCATGGCTGGTAATGGACTAACTGAAGTTGCTCATAGAACGGACAGTCCGAGTATCCGTCAAACATGCAGTTTCGCATGGTGCGAATTGACACGTCCCATATCCGTTCACTGTATTCATCGCCAGACTCGGCCCAGCTGCCTTGACGGCGAGGGGATAATTCACTTGCGTCGCTTCCAACGGCAGGATACGGACCGGCTCCTCTCCCACAGTGATCTCGACCCGAAGAAGGCGAAATGTTCGGAACCAAAAAGGCTCATACACCACGGTGTGCGTGTCAGGAATATCCAACGTGACCGCGTCGTAAGGGCCAAGGAGATGACCAGCCTTTGCATCTAGCCGGTCGGTCTTCTTGCGAAAGAACGGATAGGAACGGGGCTCCAGCTCGTACCCTTCCGAGTACGTCACTTTCATTGTAATCTGCGACGAGCTAGTTAGACTTTGAAAAGCCCATCGGAGGAAGGCAGTTGAATGTGTATCGGCCTGCAATTCCAGCATGTGCGAAGAACGTGCACGAAGGGTCAATGGCCCACTTCCCGACAAGCAAGATGCCCACTCGTCCGCACTGATAGAACTCTCGCAGGCGCGTATCACGTTCACAACGATGGGGGTCTGATCAGGCATTGGAATTCCACGTGGACGTAAACGCCAGGGTGGGAGATCGCCATTTAGCGTTTTGATCCCATATGTTCTTGGGGTCACTGCTGGGCTATAGATAGTTGGGGCAACTCGTTCGTATATCTGTCAAAACGAGGGAATGAGTGCAGTCTTCAGGACTATAGGATGGACCCAGCTTACGTGTAGAAATCCGTCATCTATCAGACCCATGGGAAACTGGATACTCTCATCCATTTGTGCCTGCCATCCCTTCTGCGAATCCAGTTCCACAACATGACTGCCTGTCTCTACACGGCCGACTACAGTGAGTCCCGGCAAGGTCGTCCTCTCAAATGGCATTGCGCCGCGCGAGGACGCAAAGTATCGCACCACCACGAACCGAATCACATTCTGTCCACGGTTGAGATAAGGTGCGATGTCGAGAGTGTCATAATACCAGATCCACGGACTGCTTCGCGCTGGTCCGACAGCGACACGGGTCCCATTGACATAGAGCTTATATCGCGTATCCGCAGAGAAATGCAACTGCGCACGGGTGGGACGCTCCGGAAGGTCGAGCTCACGGCTGAAATGGACAATTCGCCCTGTCGTATTGATTCGCGACGAATCGACCCAGTCTGGTGTCCAGATCCAGTTGGCCTGGAGGGAATTGATGACCTGATGAGACTTGTTAGTAGGCTATACATGTGTCAACGGGCTTCTGTCTCGGTCGCGCATACTTTCTGTTCCTCAGGTGTCACCATAGTGTCTAAACCAGAGAAGGTGTTCTGGCCACATGTGAGTGTGAATTCAACGATTCGTATTTGAAGGCATTTGTCTGTCCATGTCGTGTGTGAGGGGTTTGCCTTGTCTCGGGCTATTGTCTCCCGAGTTTCGGTTAATTAATTGCATATCATGTACATCGTAAAATCCGATCTATGCTTTATGTAAAGACGAAGTGTTGTACCTAAATTCTGAGAAACGGAAGAAGAACAAGAAAAATAAACGGAAAAGCAAAAAGAGAACATGGGATACTCAAGCGGAAATGTAGGAAGTTCTAATTTCTCGGCTAAAAAGTCGCTGCATGGATGCATCAAACACAGGAATCGATAAACACACGAGGCATGAGTCATGAGATGACAGAATCGACGTTATATCCCCTATTTTTGATTTTAGCCCGTAGATTGTGATCTGTGGAAAGTGCTGTGTCGTGTCATTGTCAAGAAACTGGAAAGTTCGTCCACCTTCTATAAGACCTGCAACCAGCAAGGCCTCTCTTCCGTAGCCGACAGGAATTGACAAGAGCATGCCATGGGAATAAAATGCCTGGCTTCCATAGGAAAGACATTGAATTATGCTAGCTAGCGAAAGGGTTAAAATACAACTCAACGACCTATCTCGAGGAATATCTAATAAGGTCCTGCTGGGAATCCTGGCACCAGAAATAACCATCGTGACCACGTGAAGAAGTCAGGATATGTGATTCAGGTTCGCCGGGTAATAATATAGGCCTCTCTCCAATAATGCGACGAGCTTGCAATGCCAGTCTAAACGGCAGAAGCCTTGGGGGTGATGGTGGTTGTGGTGGTCACAGTAGCGGTAACGGTTGTTTGTGGGCCACACGCATTACTCGTAGGCATGCTGTTCGCCTGAGTCGTTACAGTTGTCGTCTCAGTCACAGTCACGTAAACCGGTTCAAGGTTGCAGGAAGTTGGTGAGGTCAGAGAAGTGCTGGCAGCGAGGCTGCGCACGGGCGTTGAAGATGTCGTCGTTTCTGCAACAGCCACCCCGGGTGTTGTGGAAGAAAAGACCGAGCTAGACGAGACGGGGTGAATGGCAGCAGAGTCCGATACAGTGGCAGTCACAGCCGATGCAGACCAGGAGCCTGACGGGGCGACAGAAACCCCAGCAGCCTTGACCACGTTGGAGCCACCGTCCGGCCATACGCGAGGCCCGGGCATGGTGTAGTTGGTCCAATAGGGGCGATACATGTAGAAGAGAATGCCAGGTTCATATCCATCATAGACTCCCGGGATCTGGACAACGGGATAGGGAATGGCGGTGCTATCGCTCTCGACCTCAATCTGCGCGCAGTTGAAGTAGAGCTCCGCGCCACCCCACTCACCGGCGCCATGTAGGGCAATATGCTCGATGCGAACCAAGTATTGACCGGCAGGGGTCTCCTTGGGCAGGGTGAAAGTGAAATTTGATCTACCCGTAACTCCCCATTCGATGCCATCGCTGCCGAACGATGTCGGGCCTAACTCATATATTTTGAACCAGTCGCCGGACCCGTCAAAGTCACGCACGTCCCCAGGCGCCTTCGACAGGTATACCTGCATCGGTCCGGGATGCTCGATCAACGCGCCGAAATCGGTGCCGAAGCCAATGGTGTCGCCGGCCTTGACCTTATAGACGTCGGTCTTGCTGGCAAAGTCCTGTGAACCAACATTGCAGCGGAAGTCGGTGCTGTCGTAGCCGCCCTTGTAAGGCATGTAGCCCTGGGTATCCTCACGCACGTATTCGAAATACTTGGTGAAGTTGCCATTGGCGATGAAATTGGGGAAGAAATAATGAGCGGATGCTATGGGCGCGGCCGCCAGGGCAAGCGCAAGCTGGAACTTCATACTGACGCAACGAGCGAAAATCTATCAAAGAATGTGGTTCAATCGCCAGGACTGATAATTGAAAGAAAGGATCAACAACCAAGAAAAAAAGAAAAAAAAAAAAAGACGAAGAGGAAAAGCAAAGGGCTTTTATCGACTATCCATCTTGGATAATAGACTAGATTGAACTCTGGTACAGCAGAATTGACGGCATGAAGAGCCGGGAAATTGAGGATTAGAACAGCCAGCTCGGCTGCTAATCTGACACGACTAGACGGCACTATGGAGACACCGTTGTTTCAGCCCTAGGCCTGTGGGGGCACAAGTACTCACAACGTACAACATTCCTGCAAGAAAGCGAATTAAGCCTATTATACTAGACATTGCCAAGGACCCTGTGCAACTATCCAGGGATAATCATGGGTAAGATCTAAGTCGGTCAGCCCTACTACAGAGTGGATGACTGCTGGACCCAGCAGGGACTTTAGCCGATGCCATTCTGCCTTATCAACTCGTTTCGTCTGGGTAAAAAGCCCTTACTACGGAGTACGTAGTCCCCTAATACTTAGAATATATTCGGTAAGCGAGTTCACCACTTATTCTGCCATTTGACGCGCCTCAGGATATTGATTTAATTCATCAGCCGAAACACCGAAACTACCCCAAAGCTTACGTGATTGAGTGTGCAGCCAGAGGACTATTTTCTATTAGCTATGCCTCATTCAACTGTATCCAATTCAACGAATGGCGATAGTTTCCCCTTGGACCACACGCAAGTAGTCATAAATTGACTATCTCTGAAGAAGAATCCCTGGTACTTTGTGCCGTGGGTTTTATTACTAGATCGACATGGAATATACAAGAATTTATAGACGAAAGTTGCGTGGAGGGTGCAGTTACAGTAGTGAACAACCGGCATATACTCGTAAGTCTAACTAGGGTTAAAATTAGAGCCAGATGATCAATGTCCTGCTATGAACTAATTCCAGAGAATTGAATAATTGGTTCTTCACTTGATGCAGACCATAATAAGGTTGCCAGATTTACCAACTAACATTTAACTATGATTAATGAACTAGGTTCCACTGTATTATTGACTAGCCCGGTGCTAAAGATCCCTACCACTTTCAATATACTAGTCCTGCTGAATTGTACCGCTTCTAATAATTATACCATATACGAACGTATGCTTTCCTTCCTTACTACTAACCATAAAGTGCGTGGCAGGCGTAGCTAAATCGCAAAACGCCAAGCGGCCAAGATTTCGGCAAAAAAAATCGTAGGTTGAGCTGAGCGTATGTAAGGCTGCTGCCACATGCCGCTTGCGTCAATGACCAAAGTCAAAAAACCTTATACACCCCAACCAGACCATTTCTCCTTCATAATTCTGCAAAAACATCATGAAGTCTCCTATCCCTGACTATCTTCGCCAGGTATTGGAAAAGGCCCGCCCGGAGGAGTCCGGAAACCTTGCCAGCTATATCGATGTGCTGGCGAAAGCGGACCCCTCTAAAATGGCCGTAGCGCTGTCGACGGTAGACGGGAATCTATACTCGGCCGGGGACGACGAGGTCGAGTTCTCGATCCAGTCAATTTCCAAAGCCTTCGTTTATGCCCTGGCCATTGAGGATGCTGGACTGCCACGTGTCTTGGAAAAGGTCGGGGTGGAACCATCGGGCGACGCATTCAACAAGCTGTCGTTGCAACCTGGTACAAACCGACCAATGAACCCCATGATCAATGCCGGTGCTATCGCCTCCCACACCATGGTGGTGGGCGAGAATGCCACAGCAGAGCAGCGGGTGGATCGCATATTGAAGGCATTGTCCAAACTGGCAGGTCGGGAGCTGCAAGTAGATGAGGAAGTCTACGAGGCTGAACTTAAGGACGCCAATCGAAATATCGCCATCTGCTACATGCTCAAGGCAGCAGGCATCATTTCGTGTGATCCACAAGAGGCTGCCCGCGGGTACATCCGCCAATGCTCTATCAAAACCAATGTGCGCGACCTCGCTATAATGGCAGCAACGCTTGGCAATGCCGGCGTACATCCTATCACCGGAGAGGAGATTATGCCCCACGAAAGCGCCCGCCAAGTCCTCTCCGTCATGACTACCTGTGGCATGTACGATTCCTCTGGGGCCTGGGTATCCAGGGTTGGCATGCCCGCCAAGAGTGGCGTGGCCGGCGGTATCATCGGCGCCCTGCCCGGCCAAGTGGGCATTGCCGTCTTCTCTCCGAAACTAGACGAGCGTGGCAACAGTGTCCGAGGGGTCAAAATGTTTGAGCAGCTCTCATCCGACATGGGCCTACACATGATGGACAGCAGCCAGGTTGGAAGAGCCACCGTGCGTACATGGACCATGACCATAGCCGGCGGCGCCGATCAACCCCACGAGTGCGAGCAGGAGGTGCCCGTCTTTGGTCTGCGAGGCGCAGTCCGTTTCGCAGGTTCTGAACGCCTTACTCGCGCTATTGTGCGCGACCTCACCCCTCCGACCTCTGCCAACCCCGAGTATGGGCGATACAGTAATGCTTGTGCCGTTATCTTCTCGTTCAAAGACACTTATTCCCTAAACTATGTCGCCCAGCGAATCATTAGTGAGGATATCCGCCGCCTTCTTGAGGCAGGTAGAAAAGTGGTGGTGATAGACCCTGCCAACGTCCTAAAGATTGACGGCTGCCCTGCTTTTAACGCGATATCTCCTCACGTGGTCAGTGATGAAGCTGAGGCGCGCCATTATATCGGTGGTCAAGGCTGCAGAGCCGTAGCTATTAGTGAGGATAGGTGATTCGTGATGGAGACTGGGCACTACTTTATATAGAGGAGGGAGGTCGGCGTGCTTCTTGATTGTATTGTAACAGTTCGATAATATCAGTATCTCCTTGCTGTGTAGAAACCCATGAACTCAATCGATATCAGACGGATAAATGTTATGGGGTCATGATGCCTGATATTGAAAACGAACAAGATTCCCCTCGGAGATAGATACTGGTTGCAGGACGTCGGATCTCGGGGGTAAGGGTCGACCTCGGTGGAGACTAGTCCTCATTGGGCAGGCAAAGGCGGACCTCTTTATCAAATATGCGGAGTACAATTTAGAGAATCCTTAATTCCACTTCTGCTAGAAGCATATCTGTGGTGCGATTCGGCAACTTACCCCACTGGCACGGATGTTACGCAGATCTTGACCATGCTAGCGCTACTCGACTTCTACTGGAGTGCAATATCCAGAATAAGAAACAGGAAATGAGCTTAGAGACGCCCGCTGCCGCCTGCCAGACACAACCCCACGATTGCGCTCACACCGTGAGTTCTAGAGCGCGTTGGAGAGTTGATACTTTGGTCAGGTATGTGGATAATCAATGAGGTCGCCCGAAGAGCAGTCATCCCTATGGCATTTGCATTCGCGTGTTGACATAGCACCGCCATGCATGCTCTCAAATCCCCTGGAAGCCACCAGAAGAGACCTACTACTTGCATTTAGTTTTTAGTCTATAAGAGCATCAATCTTCACTATTATGTATTGTGCGGCATCAAGCATCCGTTGGTGTGGCCAAGATCATAGCAAAAATACGGATTGCTCAAGCAATGAGGTCAATTTGCGACTGATTTTCAGGGCTGCTAATATCATACTCCATTTTTTAGATTCGACGTTTGTCATAAGCGGAATGGTACCACTAAACCGATCCACTTGACCTGCGGTCTGGCCTCGTTCCTGTGTCTAATTGTAGCAATGCGCGTCGCTCCGGATAATGTCGCAAGCGGACGGTAACCTAGGTCGACTGTCAATTACCCCAGCATACATGATAAATACCCCAACTGTGCCCCTACGAAACTCCACATGTGAACCTATGGGAGCAGATCTAGCATTCTCCTTGTGTTCATTTGATTCGAGTATTTCCTCTCCTTGACAAAGAATGGTCTTCTCCAAGGGAGCAGCTCTTGCTGCTCTGTCCTCTCTTATAACTTTTACCCCACCCGCATTTACCACTTCCAATGAGCAATTGCCACTTCTGAAAGATGTTGACGAGACTGGCACACTCGGTGCTCTCTACCAGCCCAACTCTACAAGCGAACGATCACGCATCGCGGTCTACGTGATGCATGCGGAGCAGGACTACACTACCTTTGTGGCCTGTACAGAGCTGCCTAGGCGCGGTTTCACTACTTTCTGCGCCAACAATGAAGCTAGCAAATATGGATATATGTCCGACCTGAACTTCGAGGACATGATGACCGAAATCAATACTGGTATGTCCTGGCTACGCAACCTAACCGATATCGACAAGGTTGTGATTCTAGGCCATAGCGGTGGCGGCGCAATGATGGCAGCATACCAAAACATCGCAGAGAACGGTGTTTCGGCATGCAATGGTGCTGAGAAGATCTACCCGTGCTCTGATGCGATGGCTGGCCTTGAACCTGCTGATGGCCTAATGTTGCTAGATGCCAATTACGGTCTCTCGACTATGGCGTTACTGAGCCTGAACCCTGCGATCGAGGATGAGACCGATGCATCTAAGTTGAACCAATCCTTGAGTGTCTACAACCCTGCCAACGGATTCAACAATAATACCCAGTCGGAATACACCGCCGACTTCAAACACCGGTTCCAACAGGGTGTCGTGGCACGGAACAACCGCATCTTACAGTATGCCCAGAAGCGCCTAAAGGCACTCGAGGCCGGCAAGGGAATGTTTGGTGACGATGAGCCCCTGACTATCCCAGCTTCACTCTATATTGGATTCAACAATCTATTCTTTGCCCAGGACACCAGGTACCTGCACCATACCACATATTCCTGGCCTTTGCTCCGTAAGAACGGCACCACAACACAAATTGTCCCTTCTGTACGCGTCCCCGGTAACTTTAAGGATTACTCCAACAACTGGCAGAGCGGGGCGCTGAAGACCACCATCCGTCGATTTTTATCTACCTTTGCCATCCGAGTCACCGACAAATTCAACATCAAGGCAGACAACATAGAGGGCATTGACTATGCCTCGAGCCAGACGGCACCACATGCATCCGTTCAGGGTATTCGCGTACCTCTTCTAACCATGGGCATGACTGGTCATTACGAGTACTTAAATGCTGAGAAGCTCCACCTTAATGCCATCAGCAATGACACTGCGATTGCCTTCGTCGAGGGAGCTCAGCACACCATCAACACTTGCACCGAGTGCGAGTCCTATCCGGGTGAATTTGGGGACACTATTGTGACGTGTTTCGATTATGTTGCGGAGTGGTTGGCGAAGCCAGGGCGCTTCATCTAGGCTTTGGAAATTGCTGATATGTCTCCTGTACATATATATAATAAGGCTGTTTAGCGCAAGATACTACACAGTATTTAATGGTGGCTCCAAATAAACTCTTTAGAGGCCCAGGACTTCTTTAATGTCTCTCGTGGCGTGTTACAAACGAAGCGAACATTGCGAGCAGGCGTAAACGAAATCACTACTATTCAATCATGGAATCGCTCATCCAATTACAAACAACAGGTATGTGCCCCTATCCTCGCCCGGGAAGAAAGACTCTGGTTTTAAGCAGATGCGACCGTGGCAAATGACTAGGGAGCTAACACGCTACAAGGTGCAGTTTTGTTTCCGCTGGAACTGCTTCAAGAAAAGCCCCTACATCAATACCAAACATTTTAGTATACTCAAAGATCTGGTAGAACCAGTCGCGCTCAGGGAGATTATAATAGTCCAAGTACCCGAATGCAATTGACACCGGAAAGGAGATCACACCAGCACCCAAAGCAATGGTTTTTGGTTGAAGGAAGTATTCGGCGGATTTGGCAATGTTGACGGCCATTCCGTGCATCTCTTGTGTGTCGCAAGGAAACGGGGGGAACGGAGGCCGACTTCCCTCGGCCGCCTTTGTTAGACAGCTTAGATATAGCATACCGAGATTGCTGCAGAGAAGGACATGAGAGGTCCAGTATAGTAGGTGAATATGACCCGTCTCAAAGTCAGAAAAATACATGCTTGTCGGGGGGAACTTTTCCTGTGGTAGAGCGTGGCTTGAATGAAATTTGGCGGGTTGTTCCCAGTATAGCTTGCTAGGGTAGTCGCTTTTGTATGCTTCATACCAGGCTCGTAGACGTGCAGACAGTTTCAAATATTCCTTGCAGACTGTGGACAGCTTTTGCAAATTCCCAGGAAGGTCCGATGCGTTATGTACTGAGTCAATCGTCTGCAATAAAGCCGGAATTTCCATCATCAGGTCTAGTAAGTATTGTTTCGGTTCCTTCTTATACCCCTTCCAGGGAAGAGACGTCCATTCCGGCGTTGCGAGGTATGTGGGCTTCCTTGTTCCAATACAATGGATCATCTGAAGTGAAGCAAATTAGTCCTGGGGTTGTACACCAACATCGCAGAACCTACAGCAGAAAGCCGCAATCCGTCAAACAGTCTACGTCTCGCCGGGGACCATTCAGTGTCTAGACCTTGTGAGTGAACCAATGAAAGGGCCCCGTAGGTATGACTTGCCCAACCCAGGCCTCTGGTTGATGATCCTTCTAAAATCTGTAATGAGGGCCTGCCGTTAGCACCGACACGGCTACTAATAGGATGGAAGCCCTGCCTCATAGATTGCCAAGAACATCATACTTGCTAGGTTCTCGTCTCGGAGGCCCCGAGTTCCATTCTGAATGGATCTGCGAAGCTGTCTCAGTGATTGAGAATACGATTCTGAGCTTAATCGGGTCAAACGAGGATCCTGGGAAAGGTGACCCATTCGAGCCGCACCAAGTGCTAGCAAAGCTGACTTCAAACTTGGCTCGTCTACATCGAGGTCAGGGGTAAAGGCCATCCAGTCGATATAACTCGACTTTCCAAACACGTCTAGCCCCGTTTGGATGACATTGTTATGGAAGTATGCGCCACAGTAATACGCAACCGCAGAGCGCTGGAGGCTAAGGGCATGGGAGGATAGCCCACTGCTGCACACGCGATGTGTGGCCACAAGGTCTGACCGTGTATCAACCTCTCGACTGTCGGAGCTAACTTCCGTGGTCGAACTAGACTCCGGTGCCGCTTGACTGGAACGACATTTGTCCTGATAGGATACATTGATGAACTTCATTTCGCGCGCATAGCCCGGACAGGAAGTGTTTCGCGACAGGCATTGACCGCACGATGGTCGCTGTTCGTCGCACTATCGATATAGTTCAGTGGGACAAGCTCAGTATCAGCCAAAGTATGCCACTCACACGCTTCTTGCGCCTCCGACAAGCATGGCAGCCTTTCGAGCCTCCTGCAATTCGTGCCATTTTATCGAGAGTAATGATATCAAGTGCTTTGTTCTATTCTATTCCACCCCAAACATAGATTGAGACCCAGATTCATACCCTTCAGAGGATCATTTGTGGCCCTTACATAGACCATATCGTGGGGCTGTGAAGGTTGTCCACGGAATACGAGGTACGAATGGATCTGGTGCCAAGGTTGAAACAAAGTCCAGAAAACATTGGACCATTTGACCCGGCGCAATACATTTCCTAACTTGGTATGGCTCATACTGACTAAGAGATTGCCCACGTCGTGGTTGGTCGTTATATATAGCGTCATATTCTAGTTGAGTAGGCTTCAATATATCCATTCATCTGCATGGAAAACAGATACATTCATGATCAGGAAGCGCAAAATCTTTCTCGATCCAGTATTTAGTAGTTACAATGATGCCTAATGCTCAATACTTCTACAATCTTGTTAACTCAACAATTGAACCTGGTATAAACGTTGTTATCTTAATAGATAGGTAGTTTAAAACATATAAAGCAGTCTCCGGAATCTCACACCCCCTCACTACTTCTATAAATCACTTCATCTTTGATTATCAACTATGGACGGTGTTGCTTCAAGTACTCCTAAGGCCAGACCCCGCTGGCTCCAAAAGCTATACAACACTTTGGGATTCAAAAAGGGGTATAACCTCATTCTATGTATGTCCCGTTTTGCGACCCGCGTGTGTATAACGACAAGAAGCTCACCGTATCTCAGTCTTCATCTTCGGCGGTGCTTGGATGGGATTCACGCTTGCTCGTCTGGAATTCCTAGACTTCTCCACGTTCTGCGACAATGCAGCGCCCGGGGAGTGCTTTTACTATAAGGGGCGGGGATACGTAGGACTATACCTACACCTCGGTTGTATACTTCGTATGCATCTTCACACGGGAATGTCTTCAATCGAGTTGCTAACATCATGTCAGCCGCTGCCTTCCTTGCCTTCTTCCAATTTATCCCAACCATCCGATACAGGGTTATACTGTTCCACCGCATCAATGGTTATATCATCATCCTGCTGGTCTTGCTCTCCCATGCTGGGACATTCATGATTGCAAGACATGCTTTCGGAGGACTCATTCCCACCCAAGCCGCCATAGGCCTTCTGGTGATTATATCGACCTGTGCCATTGGCATGGCGTACTACAATGTGAAGCGACTACAGCTAGAACAGCATCGAGCCTGGATGTTACGGGCGTTTTTCTATGTAAGACCACTTTTCTCCAAAGAAACCTCTGCGAGCCTACTAAACATCGTCTCTTCACAGATGGGATGTATCATCACCGTGCGCATAATCCTCGTCATATCGACGACGATCATCTCAATCTCACCGAGCTATTACATGGCACAACCGTGCGACAAAATCGACTTCATGATCGGAAAAGAACAAACACTCGAGCGCTACCCCGACTGTGCCAGCTTTTACAACGGGTCGCAGCCGGCACAGAATGCCCTTGTCCTGGGCGACTTCAATGGCGATGCGGACAGAATAGGAACCGCCATGAACATGAACTTCGGGATGGCACTTTGGCTCGCCTTGTTTCTTCATGTTATCGGTGTGGAGATATATGTAAGTTCAGCAGGGTCGATGCTTCTCTAGCTAAGTATAAAGTACCACGGAAGCTGACTTGAATCGCGAATCTCACTAGTTGCAATTAACCCCGAGAGAATCTCAACGACTGCGCGAGATATCCTACGCTCGACAGTTGGAAGCTGGGTTCGAAGACCCTGGGAGGGCGGGCCTGACTGTCGACAAGTTTGGCGATAGTGAGCCTTGGGTTTCTGGAAAGTGACGTCGGTGAATGTTGCCCGATAGCTTGATCTATCTTATGGGACATCTGACCCCGGTGGATTGCGGATAGGCCTTTATTGAAAGAGCTGTGCTTAGTGAAGTTAATGCTTTTGGTTTTCTGCGTCTCTATATATGAGATTGAAGATAGGGTTACGTTTTCAAACTATTTAGTGGGTGTGTATGTGGGATTTGAATTGTAAGAGAGTATCGAGTACCAACAATTGACGCACAAACAGACGAACATGTGTAGAGACCTGTAAGGTAGGTCTTGAAAGATGAAATCCGAGGATGTTCTTAACTGCGTTTCACCATTTTGGGTCAAAGGGGCTCAACTAAAAGGAATAAAGTCACAAGAATTGGTGATACTCTATCTGTCCTTCTCGTAGTTGGTCGGTAGTACTCAGACTCGAATTCAGGAACTCACGCAAATATGAAACCTGGACCACAGGTTGTTCTTTTCTTCCTCTGATGTTTTCCCTGCATTTTCAACACGCCATTGGCATAGGGCATTGTTCGACGTGAAGCTGGAGCTTAAGAAGTAGTCAATGGAACTTCCGGCCTTCTACCTTCACAACAGGGCCTTCATAAACCTTCCTCGCAACCAACCAATACAACACTGCAGATAGTCCCATGACCCCGACAAACAGAACCGGTGCCCAGTTCAGAGTTTCCGCAGTGACTTCTCGGTTCACAGGCCAAAAGCTCCAGAAGAATGCCCACAAAGCATACACGAGCGCTAGTATGTTTATTGGCATGCCGAATCGACCAAGCGACCAACGGGAAGGTGGTAGTGGTGGAGACTTTGTTATGCGGCGCACGATAACACAAGCAATGGAGATCATATATGTAGCCATGAGAGGGCTGGTAGAGAGCGATAGCAAAGCGTTCATTGCGACACCAGAACCAATATTGATCAGAAACATAATGAGTGAAAAGGCGCATGTTATGATGACCGAGTTGACAGGGATATGGAGTGTAGGGTGAACCTATTCACAATATCAGTATTGAATGGAGCAATTGCTGCAATCGATGAGGGACATACAGCTCCAAGCCAGGCTGAGAAAGGTAGGCCATTATCGCGAGCGAAGGCGAAGGTCTGTCGCGATGCTGACGCTATACAGCTAATAGTGATCATGAAAAATAGGAGGAGGATGACCACCAATAAGATACTTGCACCAGTTGCATTTTTCGTAGCCTCAGAAAACACATGGATGAATGGTAGACCAGTAGGGGAGTCAAGGGCTTCTTGCACGTTGGGCATTATAAATAGATATGTGAGAACTGAACCAATGGCAAATGGCATATTCAGGAAAAATGACAGTATCATGGATTGAGGAACTGTAGCACCGGCGTTCTCAATCTCTTCAGCTGTAATATAATTAGCCACGCATAAGCCACCCTACCAAGTAACAGGAAGATCTTACACATATGTGCGACCGAGTCAGAGCCTAGTATAGGACAGAATCAGTAATAGCCTGTTGAAGCCCGATAGTTAGGACACTCACCCATAACAGTAAACATTTGGGACACCTGTCCTATCATCACAGCCAAAGATGGGTTTGCCCATTCAGCTCCGTAATCCTTAAACCCGAAGAATACGTCTTGTGCCTTTGCCTTGGGGGCGAGGACGAGTAGGGTGACTATAATTGGAGCAAATGCGAAGAAGTGGAACGTGACAAAAATGCCCTCTGCAAGCGGCAGATGCTTTGCAGCAAATATATTAAAAAGGCTCATACCAATTGACGCTGCAGAGACAATCAAGGTTCCTTGCCAACGAGCCGGTACATATGTCTCATTGTTCAAGAAGATCATGCCCTGGATCATTGTTCCGGTTAAATAGGTATCAAATGCCACAACGCTCTGCCAGGCGAGTGCCGAAAGCCATCCTATAGTAAACCCATGTGTTAGCATGCATGGTCAGTTTAATGACATCCACAGCTTTCGCACACCTACCGGAGGCATAGCTAAGAAACCTTTGGTATTTCCTAGGAGCGAATTCAGATACCCACTAGTAAGGAGTTTCAGCTTCACACTTTCCGTCGTCCGGGATAGACTACATACATGGTACTGGCCACCTGCGGTAGGTGCCCTATGTGCGCTATATTAGCCCTATAGTCGAAAGCTAAATTGCCGTACTTACATAGAGGACATTTCAGCCAGAGAAAGGACAATAAAAAGCTGTCCGCAGTATGCCCACACCAGCGACCAAAACAGACACGGTCGCCCGCCGGTCCTCAAACCCTGGGAGGTTGATCTAGCATCAGGTTAGCTAGTTCCTGACAGGTGCAGATGTACCTACGTTAGCACATTCTCCCACGTTCCCATGATACATGTGGTGAAGCCAATGGTACTGATAAGCCGGAAGTTCCTCTTTTAAGCATTAGTGCTGTACCTTGAAAGGTGCAGGCAGGCTGGATACAAACCCTCAATTCTTGTTTTTTACCCATCCGATGCATGTCTCTCTGGTCGTTCATCGTGAATCCAGTTCTGACGTCCTTCGATACATCGTCAATAAGACATTCCCTCGTATCAGGCATTTCCTCCACATGTGGGGTGCGGTCCGAGCCCACTTCTTTCAGTTCCAATCGCTCGTTAGCCATAATGACGATGAAGGATACAGATTCGCAGATCTGAGAAGGTTGACAGATTGTGGTGAGAATTGTGTTAAGAAATTGAAGAATGGGGGTATCCTACGCTGCGTCAATTTCACCCCCTGAGGAGGATACGTAAATACGAGCACAGGGTCACATCACCATTGCATCTCGCTAGGTTGTACACGGACTGTAGTGGGTTATAGTCTGCGTGTGGAAGTCTCAACATCGATTGGAACATCTCCCAAGCTGCCCAATGGCCTCGCCGGTGGCGCATAGCTTGCATAATATCGCAGTTAAGTTTCAGGGATCATGCACAAAGAACCCCCCCCGTTGGGCCTTTAGTCGTGCGAGGCCTCTTTGCCAACGCTCTGAGTGATTAGAGTCTCGATCTGATAGATCATGCGCTTCCAAGATCTGCCTGCCTCTTGGCGCTATTTCTTGCTTTATTACAGAAGGTACGGCTTGAGGCCGTCGTTTTTCCAGACAAGGCAATGCAGGTATAAAACCATGAAGTTGCACACATATGTGATGTATACTACCTAGTAGCCTTCCAACATACCCTTTCACTGGGGCCATGTAATTCTGCGCCTCCCGCATTGCACTAGAGCCATTAATATCTTGATCAGACTTGTTCTAGCCCCGCCCCGCTCAATCTCGTAAGCCGTTTTCCAAATCAAGGGACAATGTCCGACCGTTTGTGAAACAGGATAATCTGAGTTAATAGAGAAGCGCGGGTGTGTGCCAAGGAACCCTCCGCTGTCGGGTGCATTTATACACCGTTACGAGAGTCCAGGATCCCTTGTCCGCATGCCGAAGCCTTGGAGGTACCTCCCTTGGGGTTCTCTTGATAGCCAAAGGGCCTTTTCAAGTATTTGAATGCAGTTCGGTTCCTTTAGTTCCAACTAGGATGGCTTTCCGCACATATGAAGACCATTCCTCCATGGAGTTTACGCCGGAGAATCATGTCGCAATCATTGTTATTGCGGCAGTAGTTGGATTGGTCTGGTCGATATTGATGATTATAATGAGAATATACTTGCGATTGCGCCTTATTCCTCCGCTTGGTGTTGACGACGCAGTCGCTGTTTTTGGAACGGTATATAAACAGTCTTATCTCATCTCATCCGTTTCTAGTATAAAAACTAACTGATACAACCAAAGATTGCGGGCGTAGTTCAGACATCAGTAACACTGCACGCTGTGCACAACGGCATCGGCAAACAGGAAGACTTACTCGCGCCCGACGACGTTGATACCGGATTAAAGGCATGTTGTTGAATTTCATTGTGCTTTATAGGATATGACAACCCAGTTACTGACTGTGTCTTATTCGAGTAGAGTATATACATTGCCTGGTTGCTTTACCCAATCGCGATCTGTTCGTCCAAAGTATCGTTGGCATTACTTATAGCGCGCCTTACAGTAGTCAAGATGGAGCTTCGCGCAAGCCATGCGCTCGGCGGAATAGGCGTGCTGTGGGGAGTTGTTTCTGTCATTGTGGCAGCAACGCAGTGTAAGCTGCCGCAGCCATGGAATATTGGGGCGTCCCATCAATGCGATAGCATGGTATAGTCTATACCCAGTCAGTCTATATACATTACGCAGTATAATCTTTCTAACCTGTCTCATGGTCATCAAGTTCGTCCGATGGACTGTTGTTGAGGCAGGAAATATGTTGATCGAGCTGCTAATCCCCGGCCTCATCATTATGGTGCTTTGGAATCTTCAGGCACGATTAAAGGCAAAGCTTACAGTCCTGTTGGCCTTTTCAGTGCAACTTCTGTGAGTGGTTCAAAACCTATTTCCCTTATCTCCGTGAAAAGGTTCATATCCGAGGTCATACTAACACAATCTAATACCATGCCTCCAATAGTGTTGCAATCCCAACAATCTTCCGATTATTACTCCTCCAGGAAATGACAACAGAAGACATTCGTAGTGACCGGACTTTCGCATTGACTAATACGGTAGTGCTCACTGAAATCACGATGCACTTTTCCCTCATGGCTGCTACCTTTCCATGTCTTCGCAAATTCCTGCAGGCGTTTGATACCCATCTAGGCGCAACTACACATATGACTACTGACCTTGATGACACAGACAACACTGGTTCAAAGGGAAGTTATGTGCTGAGGTCCTTAGAACACCCCTCTCAGGGAACAGGTAGCAGCTTCGAGCAGTGGCCTCGACATAGTCGCCGACCCGGTCGGAAATATCAACCACATACCGTGACAACTATTTCAGCGGGCAGCGATTCGAATCCTCAGGCACATGGGGCTGATGGAGGGAAAAAGGAACACATGGGCAATCAGGATATAGAAAGTGGGAGTGTAGAAAGCGACGATAGCCAATTTGCCATGATCAGGCGGACGCAACATTGGGAGGTTACGATAGAGTCGAGAGGAAAGTGATACAGGCATAGAATAATGGCATCTGATGATGCCGACCTGTGGTACGACCTACAGCATTTGGAGCGTTTTGTTCTAGAAGCCGGATTCGATAACTCGTGAATACCCAACTTTATTCATATATTGTCATCACATACATAATTCTCCTTGGTGAAGCTATAGGTCTGGAGCAGTGTTCTAGTGCCCAAATGAGGTGACTGTGGCAGCCTTGGCCTCATCACGATGCTCCTTCTGCCATTTCTTGGAGTAGCCCACACCAAAGCCATCGCTGAAGACCTCACGAATGGCCTCCAGAGGCATGCCCTTGCATTCCGGGAAGAAGAACAAGACAAATACCCAGCCAGTGAAGCAGATGCCAGTGTAGAACCCAAATGCACCGCTCGGCGTGATGCCCTTCATCATGGACAGGAAGGTAGAGGAAATGATAATATTGGTGCTCCAGCAAGTAACGGTGTTCTGTTCCACGACTGTTAGTCATATCGAACTTGAATACATATTGGGACAAAGTGAAAATGGGAAAGGGGATCATTGGGGAATAGGAAGGAGAACATACCATCATTGTCCCTACAGCTCGGACTTCAAGTGGAATCAATTCGGTTCCAATCCATGCAATGGTCGCAACACCTGACGAATAGCAAGCAACATAGCAAATGATGGTCACCAGGACTACAATTCCCGGCCAGCCAACATTATCGGTCTCCACTTCCAAGGTTTGCAGGTTCACTGGAATATAATGGAACGCGACCGCGGTGATGAGCATACATATGGCCATGCCAAGCACGGTAGTGGTCAAAATAAGTCGTCGTCCAAATCGATCCACAACCAAGAGGTTGACGACCGAGAAGACAAAGTTAGTCCCTGAGACAGTGATACCGACGGCTGTGGGGTTGTTGAATCCGACGATGGAGAAGAGCTTGGCCGCGTAATACATAAGCGTGTTGAACCCTCCTAATTGACTGATGGCCATAACCACGCATGCAGTTAGGACGGCGCGACCCGTTGATGGGGTCGTGAAGACACGTTTAATCGTCGCCCAGATTGTGTCTTCGGACATCGCGTGCGTTGCTTCCTGAAGCGACAGTTCAATCGATCGGATCTTAGCTTCGCGCTGGTCGGTGGTAGACCGTGGGTAGATGCGCTTGAGGACAGCATCTGCGCTTGCATTGTCACCACGTGAGACCAGCTGACGAGGCGACTCGGGACAGAGGAAGAGGAGCGCAGCAAGCGCGAGGGGCGGTGCAGCTCCGATCCCGACAGTTGCGCGCCACGCTTCTCCCTTCACCTGTGCGAAGCCGGCCCCGATCGCGCTCGCTAGTAACTGACCAAAGGTAACGCTCATGTTGTTGAATGCCACCATGCGGCCCCGATATTTGGCAGGGGCTATTTCACCGACTATAGATTGATTAGTATGCCAGCTAGCGGAGGTGAATAACGAGAGTGGACGTACTGTACAGAGGGACCACCATGGCAGCACTGCCGACACCGAGGCCCACGACGAACCGACCGACCGCAAACTGAGGCACAGAATAAGAACATGTCTGAAGCACGGTTCCCAGCACGAAAAGGATACAGGCCCCCCAGATGGGCCAGCGGCGACCAAAGCGATCGGCAGACAGACCAGCTCCCACTGCGCCGACCAAAGCACCACCGCTCGTCAGTGAGGTGACAAGTTCTTCCTCGCTGGAGCTCAAAGTATGACCGAGGGACGTTCCAATCGTCACCAGTACTGAGGAAATATAGCCTGTGTCGTATCCTGGGAGGGAGATTGTTAGTTCCGCCTTTCTGATTCTCTGCGACAGACATACCGAAGAGAAGGCCACCGATTGAGACGGTTACGGAGATCAACCACGCGGCCTTGGAGGCCGCCGTGTCTTCAATGCCACTCAGCTCAGAGACATCCTGGAGACGTCCCTTTTCGGCATCTATCGTGTCAACGTGCTCCACTTGCTCTGTCTTTTCTTTCTCGTACGAATCATCGTCGCCATCGTACTGATTCGGTGCCATGATGCGGAGCTTGGTGAGATTTGATCTGAAAATTTCCAAATATGAACGGTTTCACTAAAAGAAAAGAGCAGCTGATCGATTGAGGTAGGTAGTGGAGAGACTCAGAGATAACGCTTCCATGTCAAAAACGCCAGATGGAGTCCGGGGATGCATGAAGCCTTTTAATTCTTTGGTTGATAGACATCTAGCCCCAGACTAATTGCGCTCCATTCTTCCCCACTCACCCAGGTCCATTTTACCTTTCCCCGTGGGGTACATATCGAAGGCCAATGATGTTCCTCCGATCCAGCAATGTCAAAGACCCCAGACAGCTAAGAATGGCTCTCCAGATTGTGGCACTGGAGGTTCAATAACCGATGGAATGGATAACCGACAGAACCGGGGGAAGATCGTTTAGCCACGCGGAGTAAGTTACTCTCCTGGTGGCGCCCAGGCCCTAACTGACTTTCGAACCAAGTCCAAGGCGCAGTCGATACCCCAGGTTGACCTTTTTCTCCGCATTGATAGGCGTCTGGGGTCAACCTTAAATCCCAGGCAGCCCCACTCAGCCCCTTCGAGAGGCAATTCTTTCCAGCGGGGTTTATTCCCTCTTTCACTCATTCTTTATGTTCAATCTGTTCAATCCTTTGAAAGCCCGTGTATGCCAAGCATATATCCGCGTGGGATTTTCATGTTGTAAGTTTCCCCGATTTCTACATCCCAGGGTGGCCGACAGACTTTGGCACGTTCCAGACAAGCCAAGACGTCTTTCTCCTCACGTTTGTCCGCTTGCGGCCAGTGAGACGCCGTGATGATACGATGGGGAACTTATACAAGAGAGCATGACATCATTGAATTATCTCTCCTATTGAGGCATCTCTCCTAAAAGTGGGTATCGAGTGGACCTTGGCGGGTACAAGTGGGTATGTGTGTAAAAGTCCAATCGAAATTCCCTCGTGAATGATACCAGTCTCACTGCCCTTGGTTAAACCGCATACTTGGGAAGCATTTGGCTATTTCAATCATACAATCCCTTCAAAGGGCACTCGACTCCTCCCCCACACTCCTAAACATCTTGGCGATAGCTGACTGGCAAATCAGGTTTTCGGCAGGGCAAGTTCCTCCGCGTGGCTCTTTTCCCATGGGTAGCTCTTCTCAACTGCCCGAATAAGACTCTCATGTTCGGGACTACGGACGCGAATGCTCAACTCAAATGGAGCCGGGTGACTGATAACCCCTGTTGAAAACTCAGGAGTAACGGGGACTTCTTTTCCGTCTCGAACCGCATTGGTAATGTTGAAGACGGCCAAGGACCGCGCGATGGCAAGGTAAAGATTGGCATCAGCTAGGTGCTGTCCGGGGCAAATCCGGCGCCCGAATCCGAATGACAGTAAATGCGGGTCATATTCTGGTGTTCGCCCATTGACGCTCAGGAAACGCTCTGGCTTAAACTCCATTGGGTCGTGGTAGAGGTCTGGATCATGAGCCATGGCCCTGTATGTGTGAGGTATGTCAGCGGATAGCACTGGAGATGCAAAGATGGCTAGCGCACCAGATATTTGGGACCAGGATCGCGCCCTTAGGAATGAGGTAGCCTTTGTATGTATCATCCTCGCTTGACGCATGAGAGACCCCCAGTGGGGTCACCGGATGCCATCGGAGGACCTCCTTCACCACAGCATCGATATATGGCAGACCTTCACGGTCAGACATGTCCGGTAGACGGCTCGTTCCGACCACACGGTCAATTTCCTCCTGGGCCCTCTTCTGCACATCCGGATTCAGCACCATAGCCTGGAAAAAACATGCCAATGACGAGACAGTCTAGGGCAACAGTTAGCTGCGGACACCCATGAATCGCTTTGCCGGGGAATGTACTGTGTCAGCTCCTCCACCGTAGAGCGACTGCGCAGACCACTTCGCCACGATTTCCTCCTCCGAGCCTGGCTCTACACGACCATGATCCAGAAGACGCGATACGTACGACGGGACATACTTCTGCTGTTTAAGCTGTTGTCGAACAAACTCGTAGGGCACATCCTTCATCGCGGTCACCCTTTTCTTGTATGCCTTGGCTGTCTCTTGCCAGCCGCTACCGGGAAACCAGCCGGGTAGGTATTTTACTGCATCTGGTCAGCACCCATTCTGATATATAGCGCAGGCCTCATACACATGGGGATGAAGTTGACCAGCCAAGCCCCAGGAAGGACAAGTTGCGAAAAGTCCTCCATCGCCTTATCGACCAAGTCAACCAGAGGGTCACGCGCGTGTGGCTCAGTGATATAACCGTATCCGACTCTCAAGATAATCGAACCAGCCTCTCTAAACGCAGGCGATGCTTTAGTGAGTTGATTCAAGTCTGAATTTCGAACAACTCACTTCCTGATGTGCTGAATGAGGTCATCCGGGTTGCCAAGTATACGGAACACTAGACGATGTGTTTCCATATCGATGATATTGTGATATTTTGAAATCAGAGTGACAGTGCCCATCTCTTGGTGCAGGGCTTTCCGATAGGCGCGGAGCCGACTGTTGTACGGCACCAACCCCAGTGTATCCTCCCAATCCGTTCTAGATACTCAGCCAGTTAGCCATATTTCGCTTTGGGTTTCAAAAGCTTTTGGCTACCGCACATTTCTGCGATGGGCAGGTGAGGCCTGGAGGAGTGCAATCCCGAGCGCTTCTCCATCAGATCCATCACTACCTGACGGTCGTTCATGATGACGAGTGTTTGTCCGAAAATCGTTACCGAGCTAATTGGCCCTATTCAAAGGTTCTACGATTAGTACTTCGAATCCTGTAATTTCCGCCTTCAATCATCGTGTTACCATAAAGCGCCTTATGCTTGAGCCAGTGCAACCAGTCTGGCGTGCCCGGTGACGGTAAGTCCTGCAGGTTGCCGATAATGGGCTTTGAAGGAGGGCCTGGTGGGAGCCTGCTTGGCTTCCGCTTCCCCAGACTCCATCGGATGATGTAGAGGCCAGCGAGGCCCAAAAGAAGGCTGACTACCAGCGACATGACGACGACAAACCGCTACAGCGAGGTCGAGTGCCACGATCCGGGCTTATCCCAGTTTTATGGGACTCCCTTGAGATCAGACCTAGCTGCCGATCTCTCCCTTCATTCAGCTGAACAGGCGGTGGCAACAATGACCAGGGGGGGTTACATCGCCTTTGCAATAATCATCTCTCGCAACACTGTGGTTGGTTCAATCTAGTGCTTAGTGGAGCCAGTGCCCTGCAAGATATATGAAGAATGCGCATGTCTTCAACAAGGGCCTGGGTCTTGTTTCGCTTATCTACTGTGGCTTTACGCCACATCGTGTATTAGTGTCTCCATGATTCTTGATTCGGCTTTTACTTGGGTTTTTGTCATGTAAATCAGGACCAATCCGTTCCTGTCAAATGTCCCAACCCACGTCTGTGCTACAAATGGTCGAAATCCAAGAGACTAAACCACAATAGTGCATTAGCGGGCATTGTGCCGTATTTGTATGGTTTGTGCACATTCCTCATCTGTCAGAAAAACCTTCAAGATTCTAGTATGAACCTAATGTGACTCCTGTTCATACGGCCGCAATTGACACGGATGGTCAAGCCGGTGTTCTTCGGACTTGATCGTCTGATACAACCTAAAATCTCGCTGACGAAACGGGTAACTAGCAGCCAAATACCTGTCGGAACATTCTCATTCTCCTGGTATGTAAGGATTACGGATTGTACGAAAAGCCTGGCAATACCGCAAGGCACTTCGAGCCACCCTCTGCATGATGGGCGGGCCGACGGACATCACCAAGCCCTAAGCCGCTGAGATCAGGGGCTACCCACTACCGGGTACAATCCGCAAGAATCATGAATCTTCAATGAAGAACCAACACAGAAGAAGAACTTTTATTTTAGGAGCACCAGACTGCGGCACTTTCGTCAAGAGCCGACCACATCCCTTTCTCGCCAGTGCCGCCGTAATCTGGATTATGTTGTACCACTCATAGTGAGTGCAGCGTTGTCGTACAAGGGCGTCCCCTGTCTTGATTCTTTCTGATTACATTTTTCTTTCTTGTTTATTGTTTCTTTTTCTGCACAGGGAGAAAAAGCCGACGCTACCAACGCCATGCGTGACCACCAGCTCCACCCTCTGGAAATCTACCAATAGAAAACTACTTACCTTCTTCGACCGCGTTTCCCCGACGGTGCATATCTTTAGTCACACATGCAGCTAGGGGGATCCGCCGTCTACCGTAGGCCGTATGGAGTGTAAGGTCGCTGCCCTAGCGCTCACTATTGCCACGTAACTGCTGCATGTCTTACACTAGGCCATATACGGATTAGTTCGGGAACGGCCCGATCAACACTCCACAGTCTGTCTGGACGGAATTTTGCAATCGGCATCCCTACCTGGAGCAGATCCTTGAACAATTTCACAACAGAGATATCTTCATAGCTATGTATTTGTCTATTTCAGGTATAATATCGTATGCCTGGACAGTACATCACTCATCAGCCATCCCTTGGATCACAAGGCTCGTGCTCCCTATGTAACCTGTATTGCTATATATATATTCGCTAACATCACCTAGTTAGTGTAAAATTACCTCTAATTGACCATGAGATATTCGGTGAAGACATACTCTACCTTGAATATTGATACAAGTATTCCTCTATCCAGGTTATCCATACGTGAATTGTAACTATGCTCATGGCACTCACAACCTAAGCAATTATAATCCACAGACTCGTAATACATTGACGTTGTGCATGTCAATTTCTTATACAAGGCCTCGCTCACAAGGGTACCTACCTTTGGGGACCGAGTAGATATCAATATAGCTTATACATAAACAGAGGAGACCCTCTCCAGAATATTGCTTTCTTTCTTATTTTCTTTTTTTTTTCCTCAGCGGATTGCTTTAGAGTTTTGCGAGGACATATCAAGCTGCATTCCTGGTTAAAGTTTATCTTTGACATGTTGTCCGTACCAATCAGCAGAATTTCGATAATTCTGCATATCAAGCGTTAGCAGATCTATGTTGTGGGAATCCTACAGCTGCAATATATAACAAGAGTGAATGGAAGCTGGGCCACCTACATGCAAAATATCTTCCGGATAGCCGTCCCTAGCTAACTGTTGTACGATAAAAGAGCTGCGTCGATGACGGTCGCACTCTACCGCGGCTCATGAATCAGAACTTGTACTCGTCAAAGGCATCGATGACACTTTGAATGAACCCCCGACCGCCAGGTATCCGGCTCCACTGTTGTACCCTCAATACGGAACACCAAATTTGCGGCCGAGTCTTTCTGATACATCGGTCATTGTATCTTCAGATATGGCACTACATACAGTGAGCAACCTGACTGGGAGAAGCAGCAAAGTAACATACAATGGTGATTATCCGGCGATAGCGTGCCTACAAAACTTGACCACATACGGGCCATCTTGCGCCTGACATCTCGTAGTCGCCTCTCCATCTGGCCATCGGATGAACAGAGAGGAGGAACCGTAAGCCCGACTCCTTCGGAGTTGTTGAACACGAAGGCGACCTCTTTGGAAGTGAGTAGCACCGAGGGCCCGAGGGGACGCACCATTAGGAACAACCGCAAAGAGATAGCTATAAACGGGCATCCCGGATTGAGCCTACATTTGAGCACTATAGCACTTTGGGGGCGTTGACGAGGTAGTCACTAATATACAATGTGCTGTAGCCGTATAGTGAGCCATACTTCGAACTAGGGAAGATGAGAACTGTCCCCAGGTTAGCTCTGAATTCCCAGATAGGTAGCTGAGGATATCCATCTACTATTCTGTCAGTGGTGTCATTGGTAAGGTATTTCCCGGTCCTGAACCCGGTGATCACAGCTCTGAGCTCAGCCCCCGTGTTGATAGCACCGAACATGCCGGAAGAGATATATCCAGTCCCTCTGTTTAGGTTGGACCCGATCAGAAATGACACTTTCCCAAACTTTTCCCTGCTTGAGCGCGTTGGAGGGAAAGTCGGTGATAAATTTCCTATCCATAACAGGAAAAAAGAATCTCTACTGGAATGCAGCCTTAAGTGATTCCACTGGTGCTTTTCGCAGGCACTCAATGGGCTCTATTGGGGCAGTACACCCAGTGGCGTTAAGAACATCTTGATATATGCGTTCCTGTTCGTCCAACGGGATGAGCGCAGCCGTACTGAGGGGAGCACTGCTCTGAGTGATAGCAGCGCGAAAAAGTCCATCGTACGCTAGATGATGGTATCTGACGGACAAAGCCCCACTGGACTCTGCTTGAATCGTGACGCGAGTAGGGTCTCCGCCGAAGGCGTCAATATTCTCTTGGATCGAATGCAGCGCCGTCTGTTGGTCGTATAGGCCGAGATTTGCGAGGCTCGAATCATTGAACGCGCGACCGGACACAAGTCCAAACCTAGAGACCCGATAGCTAAAACTAACCCCGATCGTTGGAGTGCCCATTTCAATGGATCCCTGGATGAGAAAGGACATATTGTAAGTAGCGCTGGTCCGAGCTACCCCCTTCCTGTAGCCCGCCGCCATAGATATACACCAGGACAGGGAAGCGAGAAGATGGGGTCGCCCCCGAGAGGCGGATAATATTTAGTGTCAAGCAGTCTTCGTCTTCTTCGTGGTGAAACCCATCGTGTGAGTAGCCTGGGAGAGAGAGAGGCGCGGAGTGGCACCAGAATCCGTAAGCATCTGCCTGCTTCGGGGCTTTCCACGACTCATTCAGCGGCTGTGGGTGTTCGTATCGTAAATCCTGGACCGGGGGCGTGCGCGTACGGAATCCCAAGGAAGAATTCCTGATGGTATCGAGTATTGTGAACACCAACCAGGGTTCCATTTCGGACGGGTTTCACGTTGCGACCATTTACGTGCGACGAGGGGAGTAGCAATTCTACAAGCCAGGAGAAGGCGATGGTCGGAGAATATGACCACAACTTCAACGACTATCGTGTCGCTTGGAATTCCAAGTTGGACTGACGTTCGATCCGACGGACGCATGCATTCTTGCCAAGCAAAGTATGTCACATGCTTTCCCAGCATGTTTTCAATAGTTCATGCAGGAATATTAGGCAGAAGAAGCAGAAGAAGCAGAAGAAGCAGAAGAGTTGTGGAGACGGAGTACAGGCGTTGCAGGGGCCTGCTTGTGAGACCGTTCTACGGAGTACTAATCAGTTTATTGAATTGGGCCATAGGCGAATGTTATCGTACACATTGGGAGAAAGTTCTGGTATCAAGTATTCAAGTTGATTATCACATTTAAATGAAATTCCTTTAGTACATCCTCATTACTCGCTCTCCATGTCTCCCGTCGGTGTGACATCGCTCAGAAGTAACGGATTTCACGAAGGAATTAGGCAGACAGCCCCAACGCCATGGAAGCCTAAATCATGTGTGGACGTTAGGCATTAGATTGATTCCCAGGACTGCAGGAATCTTGGTCGATCGACGAGCTTGACCTTGTTGGGAGATAGTCACAACATAAATGCTGGTGTTCATTGGTTGAGATATGCCATAAGCACGCAATCAACCCTGCGCGTGTCGTGTATAACACCTCACCTTGGTGCATCCTTCACAATATACCTAGTAACATTCTTATAATGACTGATTGGCCTCATCCGGCGCTGGTGAATGTTCGGTTTCGAGGTATGAAGCTAGAACAATGTTGTCGAGACGGGGAGCGCAATGGGCAACAATAGGTTTTGCTCACGGGGAGCAAAACAACTATAATGCCGCCACGAACCCGAAAGGTATTGTCAGCTTTGCGAATGCCGAGAATGTAAGACCAGTGGCCACAAGGATCCACGACTCTTTCTCGGAAGCCTATACAAGGTGTGGCGCTGACGCGCAGTAGTCGTTAATGCATGATGACCTTACGGGTTTCATAAATGAACATGTAAGCCACCTTTTTGAATCAGTATCGCCGGCAATACTGATATCTAGATGTTAAGAACGACTTTGATAAACGATGTTGCGCTTACGGGGAAGGGTATACCGGCACATTGTGTCTAAGACGTGCGATGGCTGCGCATTTAAATGCTCATTTCCATCCTGCTAACAATATCGGTCCCGAGGAAATCACCTTTGCGGCAGGAGTGACCTACCTTAACGAGGCATCCACGCTGATTCTTTGCGACCCGGATCAAAATGATGGTATCATGCTTGGAAGGCCAGTATATGGGGCTTTCGCTAGGGATCTTGCCATGAGAACGAAGTGAGCAGATCAAGAGCAGACGATGGTTTCTGGCTAATCTTTTCCAGCATACACCTGGAATATGTGTCGGTTGGTGATACAGACCAGTTCTCTCCATCCTGCGTGGCCGGCTTTGAATCTGGGTTCGAAGCTGCGAAAGCACGGGGGACCAATATCAAGGCTCTCATGATATGTAACCCGCATAATCCCCTAGGTCAGTCCTACTCGCAACGATGCCTTTTCGTGTATAACTGTTAACTATGTTACACCTGAGTAGGGCGGTGCTATTCTCGTGAGACACTTATTGGGTTGCTGCGTCTCTGCGCGTCGAAGGGAATCCATCTCATTAGCGACGAGATATACGCACTGTCTGTTTACGAGCGCCATGACCGCGAGTCAGAGACTTTCACTTCGATCCGAGCCATAGACCCTACCGGGATCATTGACCCGAGCCAGGTTCATGTTTTATACGGCATGTCAAAGGTACGTGACGAGTTTGACCATACTTCTGGAGAAGGCATCTGTAAACGTTCTCTTGCAGGACTTTGGAGCTAGCGGAATGAGACTGGGATGCATCATATCCCAGAATGAAGAGTTCACGAGAGCAACGCGTGCTACCTGGTTAGTCACTCACTGTCCTTAAAACGTTTCGCGGTAACTCATAATTTCAGTCGCTTTTCCTCGCCATCCCAGTTCTCCATGGATCTAGCCACCAAATTCCTTGAAGACCAAGAGTTTGTTGCGAAGTTTCTGAAAAGGTCGCATCACTGTCTGCTCCAAAGTAGATTACTAGTGGAGGACCTCCTTTTCCAGGAAGGAATTAGTTATTCTCAGAAAGGGTACGATGCCACAAAGCTTGAGCTATCTGTTGCCTGTAAGCCAATCTCTGATAGTCCCTAGGAACGCAGGCTTCTTTCTATGGCTAGACTTGAGCGCTTTTCTTCCTCTCCATGAAACTGGTGGGGATGGCTGGGCCGCGCAACGACTGCTCACAGACCGCTTCAGCAAGGCTGGTGTCATAATGTCTACCGGCGCGGAATATCGAGCGCCAAGTCCGGGGAGATTCCGCTTAGTGTTTTGCGTCGACCCAGACACCTTGAAGGAAGGCATCAGAAGGTAGAAGTCTTTCCTTTCCAGGGTGCGATGTTGCTGACGGAAGACGTAGAATTTCAAGCGTTCTAGCAGAGTAAGGAAGGAAGTGGAGAGGTAGCAATTGGTCGAAATTTGTAGCCATGACTGAAAGAACAAATATCATTTCAAGTTTTGAATAAATATGAGTAATGGAATTGACGGTTTGTAGATCATGCATAAACTCACAAACCCCTCTATAGAAGATCAGCCCCAGGATGTTGTCCTAGAGAACTTGGCCGATGACTGCAGAACACTCTTTCATGGAACGAAAAACAACCACTAGTACAATCATTTTGTTTGGTGCGAACCCAGTGGGACCATCAATAGTATGCGGAACCGACCGATATCCCCGAGTGGCTGATCCACACATTAAATAGCTGATAAAAGTGAACTGGGAAGGAGCCGAAATACTCTGAAAAGGTTGAAAGTTGATCAGGTCCGTTGTTTGGCTCTTTTGTGTGGTTTACGATGTTTGTCTCTCTGCACCGCCCCATTCGGCAGGAGATAGAAGCCCTAAACTCTCTCGATCCTGACTTGTTCGCGGCTAATGTCTGGTAACACGTCACGACATTGATAAGTGCACTGGACTTGATGGACTAAATGGGCCGTGCAGTACCGCTTGTCCGTAATCGGCAAGGATATACTCGGTCGATCTTGAGACAAGCCGAAAAGAGCCGATTAATGACGGACTTGCCAGACCGACAGCACAGTAATGCTCATCGTTGTTCTACCATAGAGATATAATGCAATGTAACCTCTGAACCAGTCGACGGTAACCCTGGTACAAATGAGTCTCCACCGAGTAGGCTGCGGGCTTGCGACAGCCAAAATATAAATATGCACCGAACAACCCCGCCTCTAGCCAGCCAAACGCAACGAATACACAATTCAAAATGTCTACCATGTCAAGACGGCCGACCTTCCTAATTATTCATGGATCATGGCATTATCCCGAGGTGTACGGTACCTTCTGCAAGGAAATCGAAAATCGCGGCGCGGAAGTCGTGTGTCCCCGCTTACCCACCTGCAGCGGAGAGCTTCCCCGGACAACAAGCATCGAGGACGATGTCGCTCTGATCCGAGAGACAGCGCAGTCCCTGGTTCAGGAGGGAAAGGACGTTATCGCTGTCATGCATTCATATGGCGGTATGGTCGGCACAGACGCCCTGGAAGGGCTGGGGGTCCAGCGTCTGATTTACCTGGCGGCATTTGTACCGTTCGGGGGGAACAGTCTTGCTGATATGTTTGATGGCTCTCTGCCCTCATTCATAGTCTGTGTAGGTGAATGATGTTTGCTGGTCTAACAATGCCTGGCAGCCCTAGTTAGATGTAGTTTGCTGATGTACCCTCCGTGCCAAATAGGATGAACAAGGTATGTCGCGGGTTCCCGAGGCAGCTTCGGTATTCTACCAGGATCTTCCCGACGACGAAGCCGCTTTCTGGGCGGAAAGACTCGTCCCCCAACCAATATCCGCACACCTCAACCCAATCTCCCACGAAGCCTATCGCGGCATTCCCGCCACATATATCGTATGCGACGACGACCGGGCGATTCCCGTGAGCGCTCAAGAGAGGATGATCTCAAATGTGCAGAGTGCGGGTGTGAGGATGGACGTTAGAAGAATACCCGCGAGCCATAGTCCCTTCCTGAGTATGCCTGAATTGACTGCCGAGCTGGTGGTCAATTTGGCAGCAGAGTAATGTCTGCAACTTCGCGTAGTATGGGGAAAAAAAAACACGGGAGAAAAATATATTAAAAGAAGAGGAAGGATTGAAAACCAAACCGACTATATTTTGACACGGGAAGCGACACCAAGCCAAGAACTTGTTGCTTTGCCCTTGGGGACATCGTAAGCGCAGGGTTTGAGAAGCGGCAGAGTTGATAGCGCTTGTGCAATGTGGGCTTAATAATCCTGGGGCGATGATTAGCGACCGGTTGTTCATGTAAGGTATCAGTGGCGGTATAGCGCATTCATTCTTCCTATCCTGTTTAATTAATTCCATGATTGGGTTGGCAGCGATCGAGAAGTGTTGGGATCTTGGTCCACCATTTTCATCTAACGCAGCTAACGCGCACATTTTCCAACGCTCTGGCCCTGCTGCCCAATAACCACCAGAAGAGAGCATGCGAAAAGGCGGCTCTAGAGTAATTCGTTACCGACACAAAGGAAAGTAAAAGATCGGAGATTTTGAGAGCGATCCACGACATGTCTTGGCGAGGTTACCGCTGTTTTGTCGGTCTAGAAGATGCTTGCTTCCGGGTGCGAGTCCTTGGGACCCAACAGTTTGAATTTCTTTAAATGGCGCCAATCTGAAAGGGAAGCCACCTTAGTAGGCTGGTTTATGACGTGTCGCATCTCTAGTCACTCAGGAAGTGCTGAGACACAGTGCTGGATCCTAGAGTAGGAACGGTACGGAGTACAGTGGCACGCCTTTCTTCCCTTTTTCTTTTTTTTCGTTTTTTTTTTTTTATTTTCCCTTCCCGCGGCAAAAGATAGTCAAACAATTTATCTGAACCCTACCGCTAGGGACCAAATATCGCTGCGGCTCCGGCGCCTTTTTGAATGTTAGGCTAAAAACTATAGCACTAATATATAAAAACTGTAGAAAGCCCCCGCGGACCTGATCCGACGAGGAACATCAGATCTAACCATGGATTATCCAATTCTGGAATTATTTACTTCGCTCGTTATTTCTACCACTGCCATAGACAATCATCCCACCACACACGGCGCAAGCTGCGAATTAAGCGAGAGCGACATTATATTTGGAATGAACGATGGTCTCTTAGAAATCATAAAACGGATATCTTCCCTTCACCATCGCTCCAGAACCGGGAAAGTGAACAACTCCACCACAATTACGGAAGCTGTGGGCATATGGCAAGACCTAGCGACCTGGCAACCGCCAGAATCTCTGCCCGGTGAACAATACCAGGAGCTATACGATTCGTACACATCTGCACTTTTTACTTGGCTCTACCTCATCCTGCATCCCGACAGTATGTGCGACGAGAAGGTCCAGTCCATGGTGGAACAAGGTGTGGTTGCCATGTCGGCTGTCACGGTTCTCGAATTGTCACCATTTCTGCTCATCCCTCTCTTCATTCTCGGATTGGCCAGTGTGCAGGACGAACACAAAGACTTTATCAGCGGGCTGCTTGACCATATCGAAGAGCATACCGCGTGTGAAGAGGTGGAAGTATATCGCACGATGGTGGAACGCAGTTGGGAAAGCCAAGATCAGGGAATGCCGAGGAGCTGGGAGTGGATCCAATGGCAGGACGCGGGCCCTGCAGGATGACTGTGTTTCTGATTAGATATCGCACCCGATTAAGTCGAATTGGATGTCGCCGTATCGTCCTTACAACAGCGGCTAACGATGGATCCGTCAGAAACTCAGCGGGAAGGCCCGACGAAAGATTCAAATTGAAACAAGTCAGATAAGAAGAGAGGGAAATTAGAACATGAAGTTGGTATAGTGAGCGTATCATATGTTGACATGCCGTTACATACAAACACGATAATATGCAAATGATAGAAGGGTTCAATGTCTACCTTGACTGCGCATGAGAAAACGGTTTCCCCAAGGAGCGTAGCGTAAGAAGGAGCACCAGAGTTGTACATCAGTGTCCAGAGCTGCCGTATTGGAAGGATGCACTGACGACATGGGGCAAAGGAATCGCCTATATTGACCGCAATACGGCCCTCATGTGAGATAGAATCTGTCTTGGCAGGGCAGGGATCTTGATGTCGCAGACCAGTTGTACACCATAGCCGCTGTAATCTCGCTCTGTGAGAGATAGACCTATTGTCGGTAAGCGATTCTGGCCAGAGAATGGCGATTCCCATTCTCAAAGACTGGCGCAAAGCGCGCTGACAGTGTTAAGTACCAAGACACTGGCAGCAAGGCATGTCTCAGAACCCCTTGCGCAGATGACTTATGGAGTGCACACCCATCACATGGCTAGTGAGGCCAGATGCGGTGCTTTTATTTGCCACAAGAGGCAATATTTCTTTCTGTGTCACAGTGTGTAGCAGCCTCGTCTTTGTTGGGAGGGTGTTCATGAGCAATAGCGACAGGAAGTTCCCGTGAGCTGTAACACGAAAAACAAAAGAAATCCGATGTTTCATTTCACAGCAGCAAGGAGCCAGTTGTCTATTAGATATGCTGCTGTCCTGTAGTACGTCCTGCTGGTATTCATTCAGGCTTGCGCAACTCGGTGGCATGTCTGTCTAACCACCATGCCGGGTACGATGGCCATCGCCGAGGTCTACCTATGGATCAGGCCACGTAGGAGGTCGCATGCCCCGGATTGTAGACACTAAAACTGACAGACCCACTGCAACAACTCATTACCATGTTCTTGACACTGGTGTGTTGGGGATCTGTGCTTCATCTGTGTAGCTCCGTACGCTTACATTACGATGAAAAATGGCTGAAGCGCGCTTTCCGCGAAAGACCTCCAACAATAGTAAGGTATAGCGTGAGGCCTTGTGTCTATGCATGGTCATCTCGCTTCCCCAGTCTCTCCACAGTGGAGGTGGCTCGGTGGAGACGAGGGCGGTGGTCTGAGACGCTAAAATGCGCTGGTAGTAGTAGATTAGCAATCGTCCGCCCTCAATAGGCTGCAACCAGTCAAGACTTCGAGTGGCAAGCAGAAACAGCCTTGTATAAGGACTGAATCTTGTATTCAAGAAGAGTTTTGCTCTTTTCTGCCAGTGTCCCAGCCTGCAGTGAGCGCGTGTCATAGCTGTAAGTGGGCCAGCTGAATCCACCGATAAGCGCGGCTATTAAGAGACCGAATCGGGTCAATTAGTGGAATGTTAAATCTGCAGTTACTTCAACACTTCCATAGTTCTAGAACGTACTTTTGTCCAAGATCGCATGTACATTTTCTACGACTCTCTAGTGACTTTCGTAGTGCCGCGCTATTAGGAACTGGTTCCACTGCCCTGGCCATACAGCTTGACAACCTTCCATCGACTGGGGTACATTATGAACTTTATAAGTTACATGATAAAATGTGTTCTATCAAGGTGTTACAGAGTTTCGTTGGCATGCGAACCATGTGGTTAGTCTTGAAGTCTTGCGGGTTATGCGTGTCATGCGCGATTTACGGAACGCTTACAGATGCATAGCATGGATTGGACATAAAGCAGAAACAACAACATTATACCTCCTAGTCCTATATTCGAGAAACGAAATCTTCTGATGGGCACTACATCGAGTCGTGATTACTCTTTCACATTATATGGAAGCAACTCCTGACCATGTTTATTCCATGGCCCGTTATAGCCGTATGCATTGCGTTTATGCACATGCCTAGATACATTATTGATATTATCCCTTCTTTATCAACATCATCTATTCATCGACGATAGGACTTAAGGTAAGAACTATGGTACAGTATATATATCTACCTCCATCGCATGGTACAGAAACATTGACTTATATGCCTAGTAACTGGCAACCCGACCCCTGGTCCAACACCGAGAGCCACCCACATAATACGATACATTTATATCAAGTGCAGTCATCTTTAGGAGGTAATATAAATACTAAATCTCCAAATTATGCACATGCACAGAGAACGATTAGATATAAGTCCTCAACATTAGGAATGCTGTTCACCACACGATCTAAATGTAATAAAAGTCCCTTCGCAGATACAAATCCTACCGAATCCAATAATAGTGCTCATCAGTCACCAATAGTATCCACCGGAAGAACGCGGAGACAATTCCACCGTGGTCCGGCTTGGGGAGTAGGCTTCCGGTAACTAAGACAGCTGTCTGTGGGACTAGACGTTATGTCATACGAGCTTCCTGAGCACAGACCACGGATGAGGAAGCTGCAGCAGCGTGGAGACGGCTTGTTGCCCAAAGGTCTTGGGTCTGGAGCTAGTCCAAGGGACTAATCGGAGGCCGACAGTAATCAAAATGAGTTATTCGGGTCTTCCAGACGGGTATTGATCTGCTTTGTTGGGCTCCATAGCTGCCCTTATCACCCACATTGGGACAGAGCTACAGACGAAAGTGAATTTTATTCGATGGTTGGTCTGTATGGATGTTGAAGAAGTTCGCACTTATGCCCTCCTATGTTGGAGGTACTAATTTCCGAAGATTGTGAAGCCCTACCTTCGGCTTGCGTGATGATATACTACCGAATCACAACACGGCACAATGGCGAAATGCCGCATCATAGAATTTTTCGGGAGCTGCCAACGAAGCATTCTATTTACATATGCAGATCACTCTCTTCCAAGAACGGCACGTCCTGAAAATCAGACCCAAGCGATAGTGCCCCCAGTCTTGCCGGACACGCACATCCAAGACAACTACTCAACCGGGACCTGCGGGATTTCCATGCACTGAAACCTGTGAGCCATCCAACTCGGAAACAATGTGGTGTTCCGGCAACTCGGACTTGGGTCTATTTGCCGATAGCCTTTGTCGCATGCTATTGTTCGTGGCAGGAATAGGTGGGATTTGCGCGCCACCCATCTCTGACTTGGCCGAAGCAGCGTTGTTTCTGCGTGACACACACCTAAACCAGATCCATGCAATCAATCCGAAGAATATTATTGCGCATAAGCAGGCAGCGACGATGATTCCAGCCTTCGCACCAGGAGACAAATGCCCAGATATGGAGGCGCTGACCTGTATTCCAGAAGACGAGTCCGATGAGGTAGGAGGGGGTTGCGTCGATTTCGGCAAATCAGTTGCCATGTGGTTGATCTGGATCATGGGAGCTCTAACAGTATACGCAGAAATTGTGTGCGTCACCGTCATAGATTCGGATGTGGTGGCCGTGACAGTCGCCGGGACGGTCTGATAAGTATAGCCATTGCTCGAGCCGGACTTGCACTGCACAACTGGGAAAGAGCCAGTAACGTAGACTGACTGACATGTTTGATATTGATCCTGACCATCATGTCCACAGGAATAGCCGCTGTCGGAATTATTTTAGTTAAACTCAACATATTAACATCTCCCATGGAGATGGTACGATCGCGTTGGGCAAGCGTACCTTGGACAACAGCCTACAGCAGTCTCACCGTCGTTCAACGAGTATTGAAACTTGAATCCATCGTTTGATCCGCCTGTTGCCGAACAAGCAGTCACCATCCCAGCAGGGCAATGTATACCTGGTGAATAAAAGCCCCAGCCGTTGAGAGCTACTCCTGTCGTGAGGCCGGGATTGGCCCGAGGTGGCCAGCATTCGACATCATCCTGCACCCCTTGGTGGTTAAAGGCGTTATTACTGCAGGTTTGAGCCTGCCATCCTTGTGTGCAGGTCAGACATGCTCCTACAGCAACAGTACATGATTCCGGATAAGTAAATGTTGTGGTCAGTGGTCCGAGGTTGGTCCGGAGGGAAGTCATCGGTGCGTTTTTTGTCGGTAAAACGTTTGGATAGCCCGTTATCTAGGACAACCATTCACTGCCTTATTTGGAATGCAGGAGCGAACAAGGGGGGAACCACCGCCAAGCAAGACACATTGACCTAATGATCAGACTAGGTTCTAATACCACGTATCTCACACTGTATTCAATCTTGCTATCTGCACCGTGTCAACAGGAATGGCTTACGCGACGAATATGTAGCAGAGGGGAAAACAATTTCCAGGTTCAGGCGGGACGAAGAATAATCCGTATGTCGATCTCGCAAGACTCAACCCTCCATATCATTATAGAAACCCGAAGCAAGGGGGCTGAACTATATACGGCTCATCATCCCTGCCAAGGCTCAGCTGGGCCTCATTCGCGGGGCTGATGGGACAAGGACATTAATGTAATAACGACTAGCAAGTAGGATGTGTGATCGCAATAGAAGCTCAATAACCTTGCATGCCATGCGCATGTGTTGGAATATCTTCAGATATTTTGGCTTCCTTTTGGCTTTCCAATGCTTGTTATGCTTAGCGTACCCCCTCTGGCCCCACTATTCCTCACCCAGGGAGTAGGATTGGACATATCTCAATAGTCTAGGTTAGGTATTGTACGGAGTAGTTGATTTGCACTCTACTAAATCGAGATCGACGACCTACGGTGTCGGTTGCCTGTATCTGAACCGTATACGGACGACCAGTGTCAAGGCCCCGTTCGTCAAGCTATGGTTGCAATTATTTTTGAGAGTCTTCGCCTTTGCCTTTTTCGCATGAACACAGGCCATGGTTTCGCCTTGATTGATTCACCGTGGATTCCATGTCTGTTGTATATATTTCCGTCGCCGAATAACAAAGGTTTGTTAAATAACAGGTCTTTAGCCCCGACCTAATATTAATTCTGTTAATTTTTCGTCCAACTTTATATAACGATTGTTCTCTTTCATGACCCTCCTACATTGATAATACATTTGCTAAATGGCGGAATGCTGGTATCTTTCTTAGCTTATCCACGGGCCAGGGCTATGATTTCAAGTTGAAAACAGCGTACTAAGATATTTTAGGTAAGGCATTGTTTATTGAGCTTAGGGACGTTACTGCAAGACCCAAGCTCATACTGCTTACCTTTCGTATCTAGCAACATCTAGTTGATGGTGTCATTGTATCCTAGGTAGCAGACAAGCTAATATTGCCGGCAATTTGTATTGAATGGAAGGCTGACGCTTGATGATCTATAATATCTATCACACAACCCAAATTATAGCACCCGGCCCCACTTCCCAGCCCTAAAATTAGGAGCGAAGGTTCAGTATACAATCTAATCTATAGATGAAAGTTTCACTCTGTATACTAGTATGAGCCGATGATAGCCGAGGGCGAGCTCGTTCTGTGGGACGATATGGAGTAAGCGCCACATAGCGTATACAACCAGTAGCTGCAGTGGGTCTACTGATCCAGGTATGCTTAAGTGAACTTTCTTCAATTTTAACTTCTGAGTTTCGCGCCTAACCTAAGCTTTCGAACACAACCTTCTGCCTGCAGAATAGGTGGTTACCGTGTGCATACATCGAATGTATAGGACTGCATGCCACAGTACGAACTGTTTAATACAGATAGTTCCAAATGGATGACTAGGAAGCAAAAGAATGGGGTGAAACATTTTATTATTCATTCTTTAACTACAGCTCCGCCTTTAGCCGCGCCATTTGTAAAGGATACCAGCTTTTACATACTCTGTCCCGATATCGGTGTTCATACTCTCTGCAATGAAATTTGCCATGACTATGGCCGCTGTTTACGTTTCTTGTTTTAGGGCTATGCCTCAGAACTTAATGCAATCAATTTTTTCCGTCGGTGTTTTCTCAGTTGTAGAGCGGCTAGTATACTGGACGTTTACTTCGAAAACGAAACAGGATCAGACCCGGATCCTCGATTTGGAATAAGCTGCAGTATACTGCCCCAGTCTGAAGATGACACGGAATGATACGAAAGCTCCTCCTGGGACGGATTTGGAAAGTGATCCCAACGACAGCTTCAGATCTCAGACATCGTTAGAAGCGAAGGCTAAGGACGAAGCAAGCTTTGCATTGACTCAGGATGCATTTGGCGACGAATCGAATGCTGAGGTGAAATACAAGGTCCTATCATGGTGGTAAGTATCAAAGCACGAAGGCTGACATGCTTTTGTTGGGATATGGCTGATAGTGACCAATAGGCAATGTGGATTACGTCTGTCTACCGAACCAAATTGCTTTATGCAAGTCAAACTAACCCATTGCTAGTCATGATCGCTGAATCGATATCCCTCGGCGTCTTATCCTTACCAGCAGCCGTTGCTACGCTCGGCCTAGTCCCGTTAGTGATCCTTTACTCCCTACAACAGCGACTTTGACTGATAATCCGGCACATGATAAGGGCTATTATTCTGATCATTGGTCTTGGGCTTTTAGCCACATACACCGGATATGTCCTTGGTCAATTCAAGTGGAGGCATCCCCAGATCTCCAATATGGCAGACGCTGGTGAGGTCCTCATGGGGTCTTTCGGTCGAGAGCTATTATGTGCCGGACAGACACTGTTTCTCATCTTCCTCATGGCAGGCCATCTGGTGACCTTCACAGTGGCACTGAACTCTATCACCGGCCATGCGACCTGTTCCATGGTCTTCGGTGTTGTTGGGCTTGTGGTCTCGTTCATTTGTTCTCTGCCCCGGACGATGAAGAATATCTCGTGGCTTTCCATAATATGTCAGTGTGATCCTACATGAGCAGTACTCTTCAGCTTGCATCTGAGACTAACAAACGCTGGCAGCATTTATAAGTATCTTAGCCGGTGTGTTCGTTACAATGATTAGTGTGGGTATCACAAAACCTGGCAGGGGTACTGCAGCAACGACAAAAACCAACCTATATCAAGGGTTCTCAGCAGTATCAAACATTGTATTCTCTTACGGTGAGCGTCTTTCTCAAAGCTCCTCTGAGTTGAGTACTAAGACTGACATGTTCTCAAGCCGGACATATCGGGTACTATAGCTTTATGGGAGAATTAAAGAACCCCCGAGACTTCCCCAAGTCCCTCTATCTGCTTCAAAGTGCTGAGATTGGTATTTATCTATTGGCATCTCTCGTGATCTACCGATATGCAGGTGCAGACGTCGCATCACCCGCGCTAGGATCAGCCCCTTCCGTCGTCAGTAAAATAGCCTACGGCCTTGCGTTACCAGCTGTAAGTATCTTCCAGGTCCATTCACGCCTAGTTTCAGATGGTAAACTAACACATGACCCAGATATTAATCTCAGGTGTCGTCGCAGGCCACGTCGCCTCAAAGCTTATCTACATGCGCATATCGGCTGGCACAAACCGGATGCACAAACGGGACTTCGCCGCAATTGGCTCCTGGATTGGCGTCATTTTAACACTATGGGTCCTTGCATGGATAATCGCCGAAGCCATCCCAGGGTTTAACAGTATTCTGACTTTGATCAGTGCGCTGTTTGCGAGCTGGTTCTCTTATGGTCTTCCCGGATTCTGTTGGCTGCATATGAATGCCGGCGCATACTTTGCCTCGGGGAAAAAGGCCTTGCTCACTTTGGTCAATGTGGTGACAATCGGTATGGCTTTTTGTATATGTGGCTTGGGTGTTTATGTTGCGGGGAAGGATATTCATACCAACCATTCTGGGGCTAGTTTTTCTTGTGCGAATAATGCTTAGGTGGTTTCAATCGAATATTATTTTAAGTATTTTATGTTGCGAAGTGTTTCTTTCGGAAGTATCAAAATGTCAGAGTTGCCCCTAGGTTCTTACATAATGTTCTTTTAGTATTTATAGGGATGATGTCACTGAGATCTGTTTATACACTATATGGGTAGTAAATTAGCGTATGCTACACTGTTTATATATATTCTAGTGATCTAGAGTTCACGTTGGCAATGTTTTTAATGCGGTGAGGGTATAACGTATTATATACATGGTCGGTGCTCTTGAACAGAAACAGTGCCTAGTCAAAGAAACACTCCTTCCGCTGGTATCCAGCTCACGTTGGCATATCTTACTGGCCTTACTATTATCTCAAGAACACCGGGCTGATACGACAAAGCTTTATAATAATAGTCATTCACGCGAACCTCACGCTGGCATCATATTCCGGTGGTGGGTGAGCATCCATAACCGTGGAATCTGACGGGTGTGCGTCATAGTCTAAGCCGGTATAGTGATTATTGGGTGCGTATTGTAGCTGTAGGGGTATCTTGATTGTCGTGTTGATGGCCTGTCGAGCTGCTCCGGTCGTATGGAAAGAAAAGCGAAGGTTAATGCTGTAAGTCCGCGAGATTAAGCAGGAGTGAAAGGTGGGTATATGGATCCCGCGTTGTGGAAAGACGATAGGTAAGACAATATCAGCAGTGTAGTAGTTAGATAATGATGGTTCGTCCAGTTCTCGAATTCGGTGCTCGCCATCCATATCATGATGATTCACCCACTGGAGTGAGCCCATGGAAAACGCCATTAGGGGAAATGTTTCCGTAACCGCTCCTCGGTCCCATCCATTAGCGAGTCCCGGGTCAGCCCAAGATGGGTAATCCTCCCATGGCGTAAGGCTGTAAAATGTGGAGACTTGGAGTTTGGCCGTCACCTTTCTTAATTGTGGAGGTGCTTGGTCTTTTAGAGGATTGAATCGCAAATTGAGACTCACGGCCGTATGCAAGCTATTTTTATCGAGAGGATATTGCAGCGAAAGTGGAGAGGACGCTTCCGTAATTAGCTCCCCGAACCCAGGGTGTGCAAACCTCTGGCTAAGGGTTTGCTTTATCTGTGTATGGATATCTGGACTGGCAACTGATAGACTCAAATGCGGTGCATGGACAGCGGTGGGAAGAACCCGTACACTCTTAGCATAGTCCACAAGCCGGCTGGGTCTTTTATTCCCTGGCATAAAGGTCTTTGAAATGACCACTCGCACGCGGTAGGATATGCAGCACTTTCCTGAGGAAACATAATCTAGTGTTGGCATTTTCCCTTGTTTAAGTCGGGGATCGTCGAGCGTCGGGGGTAGTTGAAGATGAGCTTGTTTGAAGTCGATGCAGCTGATATTGTGATTGCAGGATTGACAAGGTAGATATTGAGGAACGACAAAGGTGAAAGGAAGCTTGTAAGAACATCCTGGCTGAAGCACTTTAGGTATCGCATCTATGTCTCGTGTAACAGGTTGTTTGAGTTGCAGAAATGTCTGCGTTGCTTCGGTGTTGCTAAGAGTACAGGTCGCGCGCCCGATGGATATCTTCGCCGTGCCTTTGCAATATGATTAGTCTCTTGTGCCAGACAAAGAACGCAGGGACCAGGGAAGCAATTAATGGGCTAATATCATACCTTCAAAAGTAATGCTGATATTCTCAAGTGGGGTCTCGGAGTCCACGGTAATGAGTACCGTTCCTTGGATCCGGTCAAATGTGGTATAAGTATTTTCCAGGCCATGGTGATGCTTATCA